CGGCCGGTGGCTCGCCTGCTCCGCTGGCCGGAGCGCGGAAGCCAGTCTCGGGCCCCTCGGCCTCCCCCGTGCCCTCGGCCCCGGTGACCCTGTCCAGCCCTCGTTGGGAGTCCGGCACCTGTGGGGACCCACGGTGGGGGTGGGGGCAGAAATGCCTGCACCTGCTCCCATAGGAACGTGCCCCGCAGGTGCCCTCTCTGTCTCACGCTTCGGGCAAGTGGGTCTCGGCGGAGGAGCGGCCCGAGAAGGAGGTGTGGGGAGGGGTCTCCGAGAGGGGATCCCTGCCCAGGTCCACCCCCCACATGTATCGGACTCCGGCCTCAGTCTCGCCGTGGGTAGGGCCCGGCGTAGGGTCCAGGGTGACCTGCCAGGCGCAGACAGATGTGGAGTTACATAAGGGAAAACGGGGAGCCCGAGCGGCCCAGCCGGGAGGGGAGCGCACCCACCCCGGGCTCGGCGCCCAGGCGGAGGAGAAGAGAGGCAAGCCGCTGCGAGCCCGGCCAGGTCCCACGCTGGGCACGCGGTGGGGCGCCCATTGCTGCAGCAAACAGAGGTCACTGCGCTCGGGCGCAGCCAAGGAGGCAGCGGCGGCTGCGTTAGCGCCTGCGGGAAGGGAGGGGGAGGAGAGGCGGCGGAGGGAGCGTCCCCCCCCCCACCCCCACACTCTCAGATAGGGTCAAGGACAGATGCAGCCTGAGACAATCACAGCGAGACAGACAGACACGCCCACACTCAGACACACAGACACCCACAGACCAAGGAAACAGTCAGCCAGCGTCAGGGACCACCCAGCAGTTAGACTCTCCACAGCAGACAGCTGGCAGCCAGGCGGCAGAGCCCGGGAAGGAAGCTGTGGCTCCCTCTGCCGCCGGCAGCACACACTGCCAGCAGGCAGGAGAGACTCGCTCCCGTGCCTGGGGGAGGAGTGGTAAGAATGGGGTCCACCAGGCTGCCACCCCCAGGTGGGCAGTCAGAAGGGCTGTGGATTGGACCCCAGGCACACAAGGCACCCAATACTTACAGCAGCTCCAGATTATGGGGGGCCCATGCCTCCCCCAGCCCCAAGACATACTTCAGAAACTTTGGGGAATGAGGGGCTGGGCTCCTGTTACTTCCTTGGGGCAGGCAGGGGCTTCTACCTGCTCACACCCAGGAAGGAACCCCAGACCGTCAGCCCAGCCAGCCCACGGTTTCCTGGCTCTCCTTGGACGAGGGGTGGGGCCCCAGGGCATCCTCCCTGGGGGAGCCCTCTTGGGATGCCTGGCTCTATTCATGCCCGCCTACCAGCAACCCCGCTGCACTTACAGCCTTCCCACACTCCCGGCCCTACCCCGATTTGCCCAGCAGTGGGACAAGTGGAGATGGGCAGTTCCTGGAGCTGGGTAGCGAGGGTGGCTGGGCCCACTGCCCCCCACCATCCTGCCTCCCTGGGGCCTTCACTGCTGAGTCCCTACTCCCGCCACCCCATCCTCAGCCAGCAGCTCCCTGCTGAGTGGGCCCACTGGGGCCCTGGCCCTGTTCCTCCCCAATGACCTTGGCAATGCTTTGTGGGACCCATCTGAGGCCTCGGGAGTGGGATTGGATGGGGTGAGATAGGGGCTCTGGCTCTCTTGCTCTCTGGCCGGGAGCCCTCCCCCCACATTGTGTCCCCATCCTGGAATGGGGGTTCCATAGTGCCGGCCACCCAGGGCTAAGGGGAGGAGTCAGGCAGGAGGAGGGGTAAGGGGCCACAGCTGTTCTCCTGTGACTGTTAACTCCAGGGTGGGCAATCTGCAGAGGAGCAGGATTGGGGGACATTGGGCCAAACAATGTGCCCCGTGCTGAGACTGAATTGCCAAGGGGATGTCCTAAGGGAGAGGTCAGAAAGGCATTGGGGTTTGGGTGGGGGAGCTTGGGCTGGGAAAACTAGCAGGGTGTCGCCAGCCTTATGCCAGCAGGACGCCACCCCAGGCCTCCTTTGCTGTCCTGGGCCGCGGGCCCTGCCACCAGCATCTCACCTTGATGGGAACGCTTTACTCCCTTGAGCCAGCTGCATGCGTGGGCTGTCACTGCAGTGCTGCCCTGCTGTGCGGGGATACAGCCACTCATGAGGAGTAACGAGGGGCCTCAAGTGCCAGCAGCAGCACACTTGACCTGCTTGTCACATCGAGGTGACTTCCTGGGCACCTGTGGGGCTTCCGCGTCCAGCCTCGGTGTCACCACCTCGGAAACCGCTCCTTGCCATCTCTCTCTCTGCAGGAGTCATTTGGATATGGGATGCAGAGTTTTCTTTCTTTGTTCTTTGTCCCGTGACATTCCGCAGCAGCTCTGGGTGCATCCTGATGAGCTCAGGGCCCAGTGTGATCGGGTGGCTCCCGAGGCTGCAGTTTGGAACGGGAAGCAGAGCCTGCCTTTCCCTGCCTGCCTTTGGCGACAGGGCAGAATTGCATCTGGGCACACGTGGCAGGCAGGAGATGGGGGGGAGGTGAGATCTTGTCCACGGTCCCCAGATGCTGCTGAGCAGGAGACCTCAAGCGTCTCCATCCTGAGGGTGTTGTTGCTCTAATTTGGCTGCAAGAGGCAGACACCAACTCACAAAGGCCTAGGGAAAAGGACTGCTCGCTATAGCCCAGGGGTAATGAGCTTCAGGCGCAGCTGCATCCAGGAGCTCTGCGAGAGCTGCTTCTCCCTCCTGGCCTTTGCACTGTGCCCACTTTGTTCTCAGGCAGAAAGTCTCTTCCAGGTCACAGCTGTCCCCACGGCTCCAGGCTTCTGTCCTGCCCGCTTGTGAGACTCGGTCTTCTTGGGTGTGAAATGGGGCCTCCAAACGTATCCAGCTCACAGGGTCGGGCTGAGGAGCCATGAGCCGCCCTGAGGGCTCCGTAAACATTTGCTGAGTGCCTGAAATGAATTGCACCTGAGCAGGTTCCCTGCTGCATAAAAAGTGATGAAGGAAACGATGGAGACATAGGGACAGAAAACGAGAAAGTGGTCCTCTGTCCACCGTGCATCCTCCACCGCGCATTCTCCACCGCGCATTCTCCACCATGCTTTCTCCAGAGCCCTGGGCCCCACAGGCTGGGAGGGGAGGGAGGGCTCGGAGCCCCACCCAGCTGTGTGGGGGCAGGGCCCAGCCCCAGGAGAGCCTCCACCACACCCAGGACTGTGGGGGCTGTGGCCCGACAATGTCATGGTGGGTGCTACTGGGGACCTGCCCCAGGCACCAAGGGTCATCTTGAATCCAGCCCTGACAGTTGATGTTAGATCCCTGGGGGCCACCAGGCCTGACTGGTGGAAGGGACAGGCCAGAGTGGCCCAGGGCCCTGGGGCTGAAGGAAGTGGGCAAGTGGCGGGGGGTCGTGTGCTGGAGCAGGGGAGGCAGAGCGGGCGAGTGCTGTGGGCAGCTGCGCTGGAGGTCGGCACAGTGCTGGGCAGCACTCAGTGGAGGGACCACGGCAGGGCCCTGGGGAGCCGGGGGGTCAGCCATGCCTCTGTGCCCCCAGGGTGGGGGGGGTCTGTCTGGGGCAGGGGAGGGGCAGCCCACTGTGCTGGGTACCTTGAGGCGGCCCTGGGGAGCTGACAGCTGTGCGGCCACCACCGGCCATGCTGCCCTGCTCCGTCTGGGGGGAAGTGGAGGCCAACAGCCCCACCCTGACCTTGGAGGCCCCCGAAGGCCCAACTCTGGCCCTTGAAACCTGGCAGAGCTCCCTTCTGTCCCCTGCCTTCCCCTGGACACAGCCCCTCGGCCCAGCTCCACTGCCACCTTCACCCGCGGGCCACACTCCCTCCCGGGGGCTATGCAGGCTCCCCATCACGCCACCGACTCTGGGGCCTGGACAGTGGATGTGTGCATGGGGGTGCGCATGTGTGTGCATGTGTGCCCCGATGGTCCCAGCCCCTGGGCCAACATACAGGACCCTGGGTGCCTCTTCCTCCCAGCAGGCAGCCTTCAGGGGACCTTGGGAGTGCTCCAGGCAGGGTTGGGGCTGAGGGAGTTGCTTCCTGGGGGGAGAGATAGGGGAGCCCTCCCACCCCCAATCCCTGCTGCAGGTGCCTGTCTGTTTAATCCCCAAACCCCTGGGACCAGCACAGTTCCTAGGGGAGCTGGTGACTCAGGAAAATAACGAAGGAGCGCAACTCACTCCGTGCTGCGGGGACCGAATCCCGTTAATGAAGATGTTCCCGGGGTCCTGAGGGGCGGGGGCTGGGCCTGAGGTGACTCCCAAGCAGGGGGCGAGTTTGTGTGTGTCAGTGTGCATGTTTATGTGTGTGTGCTTTTCCATATGTGTGTGCACATGGGTCTGCGTGTGTGCCTGTCCATGTGTGTGTGAGTCTGTGTGTGTGTGTCTGTGTGTGTCTGTATGGGAGTCTGTGTGTCTGTGTGTGTCTGTATGGGAGTCTGTGTGTCTGTGTGTGTCTGTATGGGAGTCTGTGTGTCTGTGTGTGTCTGTATGTGAGTCTGTATGTGTGAGTCTGTGCGTGTCAGTCTGTGTGTGTGGGTCTGTATGTGAGTCTGTGTGTCTGAGTCTGTGTGTCTGTGTGTATGTCTGTGTGTGAGTCTGTGTGTGTCTGTGTGTGTGCTTGTCCATGTGTGGTGTGTCTATGTGTGTGTTTGTATGTATGTGTGTCCGTGTGTGTCTGTCTATGTGTGTGCACCTATGTGTATGTGTATCGGTGTGCTTGACCCTCCCTCCCCACGACCCTGTCCCCCCACTGTCCCGGCCCTCTGCTCAGCCCAGCCCTCCTCTCTGGCTCGGAGCCCAGACAGCTGGCCCCTCGGGAGGTCCCTCCAGGTGACATCTCAGCAGACAGGAGCGGGATGGAGGGATGGAGCTGCCTAGGCCTGACTGATGGCCCTGAAGTGTTGCCGTGATGTCCCAGGTCCCAGCGAGAGGTGGGTCACCTGAGGATGGGGGTCCTGAAGGAAGATCCGGGGGCCGCTCCCCGCAGACAGCCACAGAACAGCAGATGTGCATTACGGAGTTAATGAGTTAATGCCCCTTCCCCCCTCCCTGCCCCGTTTTCAAAGGCTTTCGAACATCTGATCTCCTTTGGACCCCATGCGGCCCTAAGGACCCCAGCTTGGGGGGCTTCCACAGCTGCCTGAGACCCAGTCACTACGTGGCAGGACTTGGATTCAGGCTGGCACCGTGGGCTCCAGGCTCAGTCCCACACCGGCTGTCTGCCTAGCTGACCCCTGCCGCTGCAGCAGTCAGTCAGGGGCGTTTACTGAGTACCTACTGAGTGCAGCTCGGCTGAGCCTGGCAGGCAGCCTTGTTTCTGAGGGTAGCGAGCGAGCGCTTTGTCTCCTGGGGTAACTCACCGCGGATCTGGCTCTGGGAGTCCTGGAGCCCTGGCATGGGGCTCCGTGCACGCTGCCTTCCCTCGGCGGTGCTGGCAAAGTGTCCGGACCATGGCCTCTCACCAGCCCTCTGTCTTCCCCAGAACAGGCCCACCCGCCTGCTGGCCCAGCCGCCTCGGGCATTCCTGAAGCTGGAACTAGAAAGGCAGTGCCCCTGCCATCCCGCTTCCCACCTCTCAGCTCCCTACTCAGGACGGCAAAGAGGACTGCCGGCCCCTTGCCCAAACCTGATTAGGAATTTCAAGATGGCTGGGGTGGAGCATTAAACAGTGTGGGGCCCCGGGGAGCGGCCCGGGTGCAGGGCGGTGGAGCCGGCCCTGCTCCTCACGGTCCCAGGCCCAGTCCTGCCCGACGCCCACTCTGGCCCCTAGCGTCCCTTCCACTGTAGGCTCCATGAGGACAGGGCTGCGAGGGCCTTGCCCACCACCACCACCTCCTCCTCTCTCGCCCTTCTCTCCCACGGATGGATCTGAGAAAGCACACCCCATTCCCAGAGGGACCCCGCATGCCTCCTGTCTCTCACCTGAGCCCCCGCAGCTCTGCCGGAGTGCTGCTGACCTGCCCCTCCAGCTGGCTGGGGGCTTGCGTGCCTGCCCCGAGGCCTCAGCTCCTCCGGAAGGAGGCCTGGCCTGCACTGCCCTCAGTGCCCCACAGCTCCCTGTACCTCCATCCCCACTCCCCAGGCGCATTTAAACTTTGTGCCCCCTCGCCACCCCCTCGCCTGGCAGCTTCCTGGGCACTGAAGCCCAGCCAGTGGCTCCGCCGACGCAATCGGCGGCTCCCGACAAGTTAAATTTAACCCAGCCCGAGCTGTCTCCTCCTGCTCCACGTGGGTCCCTGGGCAGGGCTGCAGAGGGGGTGCTGAGCGCTGGGTCGTGCGTGCAGCCCAGCTCCTTGCCCCGGCCCTGTGGGCTGGTGCCCAGCTCCCTGTGGTACACGGAGCCCAGCGCAGGGCGGAGAGCGGTAGGGGCTCCCTGAGTGCAGCTGGAGGAGAAACAGGAGCCCACTCCTCAGCAGCTGGGTGCAGTGAGAAGAGGGTCCACAGCCCCTGCGGGTGCCCTGCATCTGGGCGCCATGCTGAGGCTCTGGCCCAGCATGGCTGGTACGTATTAGGACCACAGTATGGTGCTATAGGTGGCACCAGGGACCCTGGGCGGAGAGTCCTGCCGGGTGACTTGTGCTGCCTTTATTCCTCTCATAGCCAGTGCAGGGACTCATGGTCTCGAGAGGCGTCTGGGGCCTGCTCTGGCTGAAGGAGTGAACCTGGGCACCACAGGTGGGCCTGGCCTCAGGGGTCTCCCTAGGAGAGGCCCGCAGGCAGGCCCCTCTGCCAAGTGGCCACCCCATAATCTTCTCCCTTTGGTCCCCTGTTTTATTCAGGGTGGCCATGCACTCAGCTGAAAACCTGCTGCTCTGCTCAGCGTGGCTGGGACCAGGTTCTGGGCAGCAAGATGTGAGCAAAAGTGTATCTTTGTGTCTCCAGGGACAGATCCTCAAAGGGAACTAACTTGCCTGGTGTGGTGGTGCTACTGCCCTGCCTTTTTCCCTTCTTCCTTCTTCCTGGTTGGAATGTGCATGTGATGGCAGGAGGAGCAGCAGCCACCTTGGACCATGAGGTGATGCTGAGGATGAAAGCCAGCACTCAGAGTGAAATGGTCAGGTGGGAAGTGGGTTCCTGGTGATGCAGGGTACCATACCAGCTCTGGACAACAGGCCTGGTGTCACAAGGGGTAAGTACACTTCTATTTTATTGAAGTTGTTATTCTGGGTTTCCTTATATACGCAACTGTAACTAACCCTAAAGGGCAAGCAGCCAAGTCGGCCCAAATGTCCCCCAGCAAAGTAGAAGGCCACTCCAGTGTCCTGCATGACACTCCACAGAAAAGGTTCCCAGTTCTGTTACATCCTGGGCCCGCAGCAGGCCCTTCTCATAGCCTGGGGCTGCATGTCCTCCGGGCCGGCAGGGCCCGGGAAGCCCCACAGCAGAGGAGGAGACGCTGGCTGGCTGTGCTTAAACAGCTTTCCCAAGCCCACATGACCATGGGACCCTCTGCTCCAGGGATACCTGGTAACAGCCAGAAAGGCCTGGTGCCCCACGGTACCTGGCTGGGAATGTCCTCATTGGGGCAATGCAGTGAGGTTGGGCACACAGGGTCATGCAGCCAGGGCCAGCATACAGCAAGTGCTCAATAAGTGCCAGGGCTGCCACCAGGAAGCTCAGCAGTGGGCCAGTGCCAGCTCTCCGAGAGTGCAAGTCGGGACCCCCCACCCTAGCCTCCCCTCCCAAACCTCCTCGGTCCGTCTGATCTAGAGGCTGCAAGCCTGCCGCTCTTTCTCTGTACCGGGTTCCGCTTCCTGTGGGTCAGCGCCTGACCAGCCCCTGCACCCAAGCTGCATGACCCCAGTGCCGTTCTCCTGCAGAGGCCAGCGGGGCGGGGTGGGGGCCGAACCGGGGGCGGCCGTTCTGGGAGGGGGCGGTTTGCAGAGCTGCAGAGGCGAGAAAGCCTCGGGGTAAAAAGTTTCTAAGAGGAATACGATTTTTTTCTTTTTTGGCAGAATTTAATGATGCAGATTCTTCAGGTCCCAAAGCCATGGGGGAAAAAAAAACAACAGAAAAAGCCCTTTGCTGCTGCTGTTGATAACTTGTCTCTCTTCACGTGGTGGGTTCAAACCTAAACATACCCTCCTCTCCATGAGGGGGAAGCGAGCTGTCAAGCTGCAGAGTTGTGCTAGGCAAGGAGCTGCATGGGCCACGTGAGGGCCAGGGCCTGGCCAGGCTGCCCCCTGGCCCATCAGGTTGCGTCCAGATGGAAGATTCCACAGCGTTCCACAGCAGAGAGTGGGGAAATGCCCTCCCAAGGCCTGGGAGTGGCAGAGAGAGGAGCGACTCCACCTGGCCTGCCAAGCGACTCCTCCTGCCCTCGCCAAGCAAAGGCTGGGGCAGAAATTCGGGGCAGACAGCATTCCTGACGCCAACCCTTGTAGGTCTAGGGAGTGCCCCTGCCCAGACCCAGACAGAGATATAACCCTGCTCGGGAGGAGAGATATAGAGGCGAAAGGGCAGTGGCCTGGGCAGAACTGCCACTGCTGGTCCCTGCTCTGCTCTCTGAGCCTCAGTTTCCCCACCTGGAAGGGGGAGCGATAATCTCTATTCAGCCTCCTCCATGCTGAGATGGGAGAGAGTGAGTAGGTGGGACACGTGGACGAGCTTCCTGTCAGTGGAGCAAGGGTCTGTGTTCCTATGTGGCTGTGACCGCTGGGCCAGGGCACACCAGGCCTTGGTGCACCAGGCCAGTTGGGCAGACGAGGGGAGGCCGCTGCCCAGGGTCTCAGGGTCGTGATATCCACTGCCATGCCCCATGGTGGGAAGGGCCATCCTTGCTCCCCCTTCTTGTCTGAGAGGATGGTGGAGGGTATCCCGGAAATTTCAGAGAGCCCCAACCTCCATCCACAAACTCAACACCTGGCTGAGCTGAGTCAGCTTAAGCCTCCGCCATCCGTTCTGGTATGTCCCCTCAAATGCAGAAGGAGTTGGGAAGGGGAGGCTCCAGTCACCCGTACTGGGGGGTGGTCACACAGACAGGCATTACTGTGGGTTCACTCCAGGTTTGGCTGAGCCTGAGACCAATTTTGGTGGGAACGGACACCCCAAAAGTTAGCTGCTTCTCAAACTCCAAAGGGCACACACACATCACCTGGGGATCCTGCTGAGTGTAGCTTCTGATGGGGGTCTGGGGAAGGGGCCTGAGCTCTCCTTTCTGACAAGCTCCTGGTGATGTTGCTGGCCCGCAGACTGCTGGGCCGGGCACGCGCTGGGCCGCTTCCTTACCGCAGGGCGGCGAGGCTCAGTCTGCTCACCCGTAAAGTGGGGATAAAGATGCACAGCAGCCACTTGATCAACTTATGCCAAGAAGAAAGGGATGAGGCCTGCAAAGCCGGGACTCAGTCTCATTGGCTGTTGTCGTGATCCTTATTCACATTACTGCTCCCAGCCAAACTGTCACCTTTGTGCCTCCCCCCACCATCACCTTCCTGGAGAATTACGCCTCCAGAACTAGCCCCTTGACCTGACCAAGATCATGGAAGATGACAAGTCAGACCCAAGACACCCCACCCCCCGCCCCCTATCCACCAATGGAGGGCTGGTCTGCCTGGTTTGGGCAACTGGGACCAGGACGGAGAGGGAGCAACTGGCCCCTTCACATCTGATCCAGTTATCTCATCCGTTAAAGGCAGAGAAGCCGAGTCCCAGCCCAGGGTCTCTCTGGAGAGCAGACTCCACCCTCCCAAGGCTCACTAGCAGGTGGGCGGAGAGGGCTGGCCACCCTTGTCCCAGGAGTCGCGTGGGCAGATGGGTGGATCACTTGACCCCAGCCTCCCCCTCTGACCATGCTCTCTGGGTGGGTAGGTGGACCCCCCGCCCGGGGCAGGGTGACTCCTCCAGGGTGCCTTGCACTGAGTCAGTCACAGAGGTTGTCAGGATGAGGGGCGGGAGGGATCCTTCTGGGACCCTGCGCTAGGCCCAGTCCAAGCCAACAAGGGAAGATCTGGAACCAACCAGCCTCGTCCTTGTCCTGGCTCGGGGCCTGCACGCCGCACCCTTCTGTCTCGCTGCTGGAGTCGGTTTCTTCAGAGGTAACCATGGCAACGCCTTTGTTTCTGAGGGCTGGTCCCCGCCTCCTTCCGTCCCTCTCTTCAGAAGAGGCTCCAGAACTCCTTCTCAGTCCCTGCACGTCCCCAGCTGCGGCTAACTGTGGGCCCCGTGGGCCAGGGACCAGCCTCTGGATGGAGGAGGGGGCCCCAAATGCTGCCTGGGCCCTACCCCTGCCACAGAGCCCCCACTCACTCACTCATACCCCGATATTTACTGGGGGCACAGAGCATCTGCTACGGGTGACAGAGGCAGCCAAGGCCCGCCCTGCCCTCCAGGCACCCCGCCCCACTGGGGTGACTTGTGGTGAGTCCCCTTGTTGCTGAAGGTGGGGGATGCACTCTGAGGAGAAGCAGACGCCCAATGGGGTGACTCTGTGCAGGAGTGGAACCTCAGAATGCACTAGATCATTGTGGGCAATCTAGCAGCACTCTTTTGGCGGCTGGGGGCCCAGGGCCCTTTTGGTTCCACCTCAAACTAGCTTAAGCAGAGAAGAGAATTTACCAGCTCATGTGACCAGAAAGTCTGGGGATAGTCTGCTAAAGTGCTTCCGGTTCCAACGGACCTGCGTGCGGGCCAGGGCCAGGCCTCAGTCGGCCGGCTGCCCTCTGGCTAGCCAGTGGCATCCACAGAGAAGATCCCACAGCATTTTTTCCGCAGTATCTGCTCGTCCTTTCCTCTGGCTGGCTTCATTCCCAGGCGCCCCTCCCCTCGTGGTGGCCCGCTGCCCACTGGTAGCTGAGTCTTGCTTCTTTCCATCACCAACTAGTCCTGGGAGGCCTTGGGCAGAGGGGAGGGTCTCTGACCTCAGCCTCCCCTGGGCCGAGGGCTCTGGTCCTGCAGGAAAGTCCCATGGCTGACCCTCGCTGGCCAGGATAGGGCTTCACGCCCGCCTCTGGGACATTTACTATGACTCTGAGCAGACAGCCTGGTTCCTGCTCCTCCATCCACCCCACACCGGACTCATGACTAAGTGGAATGAGGGCAGGGAAGCCTGGTGTGCTTACAGGCTCAGAGAGGTTAGTTAAGTTACCCACGGCCACCTAGCAGGAGAGGATGCACTGCACGCTCAGGGACTGACAGCAGTGTTTCTGAGCTTACCAGCGCACCTCTGTGGTCAGCGGAGCCACCGGGGGCCAGGTATGCAGCAGGAGAGGTGAGTTGGCCCCTGACCTTGGTGAGCAATGAATGGCATATAAAATCCCAAAAAACTCAAACCCCTTGCCCTGGAGTCAATTCCGACTCGTAGTGACTCTATAAGACAGGGTAGAACTGCCTCATAGGGTTTCCAAGGCTGTAATCTTTACAGAAGCCGATCGCCAGGTCTTTCTCCTGCTGAGAGGCCGGTGGGTTCCAACTGCTGAACTTTCTGTTGGCAGCCAAACGCTTAACCACTGCGCCACCAGGGCTCCTATGGCCTGCGAAGGAAAGGGGCTATTCGATGTTTGGTGGGGTAGTGGGACCCTGCAAGGTTCTTGAGCTGAGGGAGAGCAACTGTGCCAGGATGACTCCTACATACCACCCATGTCCCCATCCCCAGGGTTTGGGCAGCGTCGCGCCGCGGGCCTCCTGACTCACAGTTTGTAAACTTGTCCCTCACCCCGCCACGCCCTCTCCCCCGCCCCCCGCCCTTAGGATCAAAATCTGCATAACCCCGCCTCTCACCCGCTGTAACTGGCTGTCCGCGTCGTCACTCCTCCGTGTGAGCGGGACTCCCGAGTGGGCGGAGGGAGCTGCCGCTCCGGCGATCATTAGCATAATCCCGCCTCCGGGGCGGCTCTCGGGCAGCGCGTTGATTGGACCAGAGGAGGCTGACGCGCCGGCGCCAGGCGCCGCGAGTGGCGGACGTGGCTGTCAGTCCGAGGCGGTCGGCCGCACTTCCGCCTCGGTGTCAGCGGCCTCGGCGGGGGCGGGGCGGCAGCGATCTGGGGGCGCCGAGGAGACCGCGTCCAGGTGAGGCCCAGGTGAGACCC